AGTGTTAGGTACTGTTTTTTATTAAAGGAATCAGAGTTATGCACAAGGGAGATACATTCCTTAATTTAAAATGATTTCCAAAATTTTTGAACAACAAACTTCAATTAAACAATATCCGTAATGTCAAGCCAGTGCCGAAGTAATAGCTACTAGGCTGGTGACATCCAAAGATACTAACAGAGTAACAGTCCACCAGCACAGGTATCAACCCAATGGAAGTTATAGTATACCATTAACGGTATCAATTTTACTAACCTATTATTAACTTTTAATTTTTCGAAATACTAAGGAATTTCTACCCTAGGAATAGATTACCTGAGCTGTATATAGCAAAACTTTTAGGAATATTGGGTCCTCAATGCTCTTCAAGTTCGTACTTTATTTGGCCTTTGAAACTTTTTTTATTCAAGCGTCTTCAGTAATGTTCGAGGAAGAAAAAAAAATGAAAATACAAAACATTGTACAAACGTTAAAGAGCCAAAACAACAACAAACAATAGAAAAGCAACCAGACAAGAGATAAAAAAAACTGTTAAGTCTTTTTGAATATGAAATACATATAAATTATGTGTTAAGGGGCAATGATCAGAAGAAATGAAAACCAAGAAAACAAACCAAAAACTAAAAACACACCTATAGTTAGTTCACACGAGACTTGAAATCTTACAGTTTTTTAATAGATTTAAACTTTTTCACCTATTTTATGAACTGCAAAAGTTTGATTTCTGATTAAGTGATTTTTTTACAAGTAAGTCCAGTGTCATGCTTAATATTTTCCCAGATAAACTGAAAGCTGCTCTTCCTCACATCAGATTGTTTGACCTCAAATGATATTAAATGTCAATATGAAGAAATAAAATAGAAAATCAATTCTTACTTCGTTACTTAAATTTAAAAGCATTTACTATGCACTCGAAACAGAAAATCAAATTTCCGTTTTTACTTGGAAACCCTTCTTTTGAAATGTCAACGAGATGTTGAGATTAACGATTTGACCTACGTTTTTTCTAGGATACTAATTTTTATTCAAAGTTTACTGAGTGAAAGTCTTTTTAAAATCTTTTCTTTATGCATTCGAAAAACGTTATCAATTCAGGTATGTTTACTTTCTACATAAACTTTCAATATAACAGTACTAGCTATAAGTGTGATCAGTGACATCACAGACACTGGTTCATGTGTAATCAGTACCATTTGGCATCACAGGTATTCTTTCAGATGAAATAGAAATTTTGATGGAGTTGTACTAGACTGACCGCTGCATTTGAAAACTATTATCAGCCTTCTTGATGTTTTATCTAAATAACACTACACTAAGGAAGGACAAATGCACATTTCCCTAAGAATTCAAAGAGAAAAACAAACGAAACTAATAGAATTATCAACAGCCACATATGAAAAAACCAAGGAGACCATATAGAGTAAATAGAAAGACGAAATACCGTATAGACTAAAAAAGTAACACGATGACAAAATTAAAAACACGAGTTACACAAACCTCATATGTGGAGCAGGATCTGCTTACCCCTCCGAAGCACCTGAAATCACCCCTGGTATTTGGTGGGGTTCGTTTTGTTTCTATGTTGTGTTTAGTGTACTGTTGTTTGTCTTTTCGCCGTTTTCCGTTTTTATTGCCATGACATTGCTTGTTTTTTCACGACTTACGAGTTTGAATGTCCCTTTGGTATCTTAAGCCTATCTTTTAAACTAATGTGAACTCGAGAGCATTGGAAAAGTAAGAAATTTAACATTTGTGTCCTGTTTTTAAATGAAAGAAACCGCACAAATCCGGATTTGTGTTTGAGAGAAGAGAACGAGATTGCAAACACGACTGCACAGAGATAGAAACCATCCCTTTACTAGGCATCGGATATATCGTTCCCAATTCCGACCGGACGTGACTACGTATTTATACATCCGAACCAACATTCCAATTAAAACAATGATTTAACTGTCGGACAGGAAAAGATCAGGGATGACAATATTTCTATACCCTAGTCAACCCTTGGCATCGAAACTATAGTAGATAGAGTGAAATCATCATTTAACTCCTTATAGGAGTTCTTCCCCTGAAACACGATTTTTTTTAGGAAACTTAAACTAAGGATAAAAAGAAACTGTAAACGGTTAATTTTATCAAGCAAAATATGATCTACAAATGAGACATGGCCGAAATCGACGGGATTGACTCTATATGTTTCATTAAAGTAAATGTTTTGTGGTCTTGCATTTCTATTAACGGTGACTTCATGTTTTTATATTATTTGAAATGATCATCCTGTAACTATTGTAGAGTGTATCGCGTCTATTTTTCACATGATTAGGTCATAATAGATGTTAGGATTAAATTCCCATCGTATAAGACATCGATGACCTTGATATGTCCTTTTTAGATGGTTAAATCGGGATATTTTTTATAATAATGACGACAAACCGTACAAACGAAATAAAAACACATCTGAAACCTAGATATATTTTTTTAATTCTCCCAACTCATCTCTATTTATAGGATGGCATGCTTTTCCGTCTACCGCCAGAACCTGCAAAGTAAAATCGTGACGAGTTGTACAATCATGTAATTTCAGCTCCGCAAGTGCATGCATTAGGTTTGCCTTTTTTTTTATTATACATTTGCCAAGTTATACAGAAATAACACACTTTTTGTTGAAAAAAAATATAGATTGATGCCCTGGTAATCGCTATTTATAAGGTACTATTAGTAACCTTAAGAAACGAAAGGAGGAGATACTTGTATGATAAGAGTCATTGTTCGGCCCTTTAGATTGCAAAAAAACAACAACATAGTAACTTATTCAAGCCTTTTAAATTATGTGAAATTTATTGATAAATGAAAAGGTGTAAATATTCTGGACAGTTTTGTGCATATAGGTCACGTGTGAAGTCGATATGACGTCATAAACATTTCGAAATTTACACGTTTGACCTATAATGGTAATTTTAGGCATATATTTTGGTCAAAATATATATGAGCAACAGCTTTACCCCAAAAGATATATTACACATCTTTTACATCTTAGTAATTTAAATTAATTTCGTAGCAATTATCTATTTTTGGTAAAGGTGTTGATATCTAGAGTGGGTGGCGCATATTCGCCTTGGACACATTTTCGCCGTTTTGCTATTTTTTCTGTTAAATATTGTGTATCTTTACACACTATTTGCCTAAATAGATGGTAAAGGCTGTTTGTAATGTTACAACTGTCGATATTCCTCTTTACCCCATTTCCAAGGTTATTCGCACAGATTGAGAAATACGCAGGTGTTTTTAAATTATTTTGGCAATTATGTAAGATTTATATGGCAATCATGCGCAGTCTTAAACTTAAAGTAAATATTTGTGAGAAAAATCGTATAGGAATGATCTCTCAAGCTAATTCATGTAATTGCAAACATTCGTTTTTATAATATACCAGGATAATGAGGATTGTCATATCATACATTGCGGCGAAAATGTGTCCCCCATGGTACACGAACAACTTGATTTCCTCTTGAGTTTGCGTTCGTTTTTAGAACAATTAACCAATGTTTTGAAGATAATTTCTTTGTCAAACATTTTTTTCATATACATGTAGTTAAATTTCTGAAACCTTCATAAAAAGTTCCAAATATTCGAATGTAGGTCGGATGTAAGTGGAAATGAACGAATTATGCGGCGAATATGGGTCTCTCACTCTAAATATTATTGAAGAGATCTCCATATCCAGAAATCAACGCCACTTTGCTTATTTGAATATTATACTAAAGAAATCGGATACGGGTCACGGAAATTATATTGAAATGATAGGGAATTTTGAAAAAAAAAGTCTGTTTTAACTTTAATTGAAGTGATAGACAGGTTGCGGGGACAGAAAATAAATATACACAACAATATACACCATTTATACGAAACACAATGACTGTCGTTGCAAAAATCAAGGTTCCTGAGCTATTTTAAATATCGAAGCGAGAGGCTTTTAACATTGCAGTATAAAATACAGTCTAAAATGGCTGAAACGTCAAATTTGCAAACTTCGTGTTGAAAATTGGCTATCAAGGTCATTTACAAAAACACACAGGTTGCGGGGATGAAACTTGAAACTTGAATGTCCAAAGAATAAGCAAGTCCAAACCTTGTATGTGTAGTCGTTGAACTCTAGGTTCCCACGTAAAGTTGAAATGCCCCTATTTCAAGAAGAATAAACTCACGAAAACACGAAAAAAACCACTAAATTCGCGTTCATTGTTTTGATTTTGACCGCCTGACAACTTAACGGAAATATCAGAGTGATTATAAACAAGGACTCTGTGACGGACAACTTATAATATCCGTGTTTTAAAGATTTTAATGATATCAAGCCAGTCCAGTTCAAACTATTATCACGTGGTACAATTCTCATTTACATATTATGAATATTAATTAGCAAAAGTACTACTAATTTCTGGCTATGCAAAATGATACTATTTTTGCTGTTTTTGCACTAAAGTTTATTAGAAGTTTGAAACACTAATTCCAATATGTATGATACAATCTAAAAATATGAAAACTGATGTCTGATAGACTACATCTGAAAGATGTCATATGGTAGATTTATAATACGTTTTGATTTCCGAATTCAAGAAGCCAAAACAGTGTCTTTTTCATACCTTTTCCTTTCTTCATTACAGATGTTAAATTGATTTCTGAGAATTGACTACTTAAAAAAGGCCAGTCTTTATCAAGGCAGTCTTTAGCGAAATATGGTTTGGAGATGCACATTCGAAATTTTAAATTGTCTCTTAAACAGGAACTTTGTATGGATAAAAAGCGTGTGGAAAAGGGTAACTACAAAAGATTGGTGTATTTTTTTATAGGTTCTTCACATCATAATATGTTAATGAATGTACATACCTCCTAGGTACTTTCTTCTTGGTGGCATACCATAATCTGCAGGCTTAGGGACGTCAAAATCTACTGGTTGGTTGTCAAAATTGTATGGAAAATTATGGAGCATAGGATGAAGCATGAATGATCCTCCAGTACTTTTTATGGAGTTAGAAGATGACGTTTCACTTGACAATTGTTGTCCATTGCTTGGTATGGCACGTGGCTGTGGAACAACAGGTACTGAAGGCGGATTTCGTGGCACTGGCGGGGGAAGAATATACCCTGCAGGCGGACTGGGTGGCACTGGCGCGGGAAGACCATACCCTGCAGGCGGACTGGGTGGCACTGGCGCGGGAAGACCATATCCTGCAGGCGGACTGGGTGGCACTGGCGCGGGAAGACCATACCCTGCAGGCGGATTTGGTGGTGACGGAGGGACACCATAATTTGAAGACGGAGCGACCGGTGGTGGATAGTATCCGCCGGAACTAGGTGGACTTGGTGGACTTGGTGGACTTGGTGGACCAAAGTCAACTAAAAAATGATTAGAAATGAAGTTAATAGCTTTATTTTTATACATAGTTAATATTTCATCGATACAATGGATAATTAAACAAATCTTCATACATACACAGTTTTCTTCAAATATTTCTAATAAATTTCTATGATTTTGTACTTTTAGCATCCTGATTTAACCATCTAAGTTTGAAAAATGTTACTGAGAAATGTTTATGGTTCTACAATAATGCTTCCAAAGTTGCAGCCTGACTTTGCGTATTGAGACTATTTCCTTTGATTTTAAGGAAGGGATACAAACAGTAGTAACAGAAATGTCTCCTTATGTTGTTTTTTTTTATGAGGAAGGTGGCGCGAAATTCAAAATCGAGACCTTGAAAAAGAGACAAAAGATACCAAGAGCACAATCAAAACTTACCATTATAAGAAATACAAATGTGATGTAAGCAAATGGTTATTGTATTTCTTTTGATTAGCCTTCTGTGATACAACATACGTAAGCTTTGTTGAGGACCTAGCTCATACTTGTTGACATGCCGATAATCTTGCATTTGCACTATTATGTTTTAATTCAAATCATGCTTACTTTTTATATGGCAAATTTATGCTTTTATTTTCGGCACATTTGATAACTTATAGAATGACGTATAAGTTGTAGCTTGAACGATTCTTGAAGTTCTTTTAATGGCACAAAAAAAGATCGTCGGATGATTTTAATTTCTGGAAACTTTTTTCCATTCAAAGAGTATCTTTCAAATACGCTAAAAGCGTATTGCTTTAAAATAAGATTTATTTAATTTTGATAACTTACCGAAGGTCACACCGGGGTAACCCCCGCCAACTGCAACTCCAAATGCTGCAAAATAATAAAACCAAATTAATATCACAATACATATAATAATCTAAATTTAATTTTACATCTCTCTAGAACTAGTCTATATCCTTTTACGGCTAAATTTTTAATTAAATAAGATGAATGTTGTGTAATTCTATGCAATTTGAATTCCCAGCTAAACTGTTTAATGTTTAGTGCAAGATTTCTGCCCCTATTCGAATTGCCTTCTATGTCTAGCGACATCTAAATATTATTATTATAGTAAACAATGCCTTATGTTTATACAGACTTTTTTTGGCAAAAGAATCCCTTTCAAAGAGCGAACGAAAATAAAGTGATACATATAAGTAGGTATAAGAAGATGTGGTATGAGTGCCAATGAGACAACTCTCCATCCAAGTCAACATTTATAAAAGTAAACCATTATAGGTCAAGATCTGTAACTGGCAAAAAGGGTGAACGCGTGCAGAATGGCCTAAACAATAAATATTAAAGTCCAATATGACCATATAAATAGTTACTTAATGGATAGAACCTCCAAACCGGATATTTTTGTATAGTATTGAAAAATAATTATCGGTCCTGGAATTGGCGGAAAATATCATTTTCAGCTGACATTCATTGTAGCAAACAATTAATCTCTTACATTAAACACAAAAACCAATCGGAAACTTTTTCAGCTGTATATTTGTCACATTTGCAAAACATCATAGAGTTTATAGTATTTTTCGTCCCGATGGTACCAAAGAGTAAAGACACTGGACCAAGTTTTTTTTCTAACCGAGAGTAACAAATGTCTTCACAAGAAGCGTTTGACTTTGCGGGATGTATAAAAACGTACTCAAATTAAATTTGTATGAATTTATTTGATAAACAAAGACACAGTCACTGACCTACGGAAAATCAAATTATGCCTAATACAGAGGCGGATTTAGAGGGGCCCAGGGTGCCCGGGCCCCCCTTTTCTGGGAAAAATTTGGTTGATTATATATAGAATCACTGAAGCATGACCGGAAGTCACTGGGCCCCCACTTATGAAAATTTCTGGATCCGCCACTGTAATACATGATTGTTACATATGACTATATCATCATATGCAATCTTAAGCTAGAAAAAATATTTATCTTAATATTTGATAGATACAACTTTTCTCAAAATACAGTGAATATATATTCACGTTTCATTAAATCAATACAAAAGTTCATATACATTAAAGGATTTTTCTGTAGTAGCTTGAATATAATAACGTGTTTTATCAAAAATGGAGTTGAAATGGTAACTTTCTAAAGAACTTTTTCAATACTTCTTCGAAGGGTCTGTAGGTCAGCTGTTGCGTGATAAAAATTTCCCCGTATTCAACATGACCTCAAGTGACAGTTCAAATTATCTACCTATATCCCGATCGACCACTTTCCAAAACAGACATAATGAATGTATTGATAATTTGTTGTCTTTCTATAAATATGAATGAACTATTTGTCGCTGGAAACTCATCAAACAAACAATCGCCATATTTCTGTCATGTGTATCTAAATCGTAACGGTAAAAATACATACAAATCCACCCCATGCTGCTCACATAATACGATGACATTGACTGAACAAAAACTATAGTAAACCATTTTTTTAATAATCGACAATTTGGGTCTGATATTTTGAGGCTTTATTTTGTTGGAAAACTAAATAAAAGTTCTAAATCCAAATATTAAATATCCCATTGACAAACTCACTTTAGATAAAAAAAAAAAAACGAAAACAGTCCGTTACACTCATCGGCTGGACTACAGTTATCACAAGCCGTTTTTAATTTATATATGTACAGGATGTTCGTCGCGCAAAAAAAATCTGTTTAAATCAATCTGAAGTTTTCTATGTCGTCATTTCGTCGTTTTTCGTTTTTTTGTTATGACGTTGCCAGTTTTTCTTCGACTTGTGAGTTTTGAAAGTCCCCTTGGTATATTTCGCTTCTTTATAAATTACAATAAAAATGTATATTGACGCCTTGATGGGTTACAGTAACTGACAATCATAAAAGAATATACAAGCTATACTGAACAGTTTCGCTTGAACTCGAATAAGCTCCAGTGAGTAAACACAAATCATATATATGAGTAATACAAAGTAAACGAGTCAAGCTGCTGTTAGCGTATTTTTTTGTCAATTTAGGATAAAAGAAGACTATAGGCTGCCGATAAAAATCTATAAGGAGTCTAAGAAATATACGATGACATGCAACTATGCATTTAGAAGAAACTTTAGACCATTATGTTAACTTTTTTCAATATAAGAAGCTACATTTTGTTGTAAAATTTAGAAGTGTTTTCAAATTGTGGTAACCCATTCAACTTTTGCATATAATGAATTTAGGTCCGATGTTTGACCATCAGGTGGCACACTTAAAAATCAGGACAGTAATTCACCTACTCTGACTTACGATGGACAATTATACAAAAGGTCACGAAATTGAAATCAATAGCGAGCCACAGCAAACACATATGACGGCTAATTACTAAATGCTGTCATGACTTATTTGCAATAATAGTCTAATTGTGTAAGACTATTTATAATCCAGCTACCACTTTATAAATACATACCACATCCTATCACTACAAATGATATTGACAGCATTTTGTAAGTTTCCATTTTGCCAATCCAGAAAGAAATGTTAAAAGCCTCTCGTCTTTACCATTGATATATATGACTTCAGGAGATCAAATTAACCTTTTATATATCTATTAAAAATGCATATCATGTCAATAAACACTTGAAATTTTGACATTTATTTCTGTCACGAAAGCTGTTGGAAATATGCAGTATTTAATCCATAATTGTTAAGTAGGTGGGGATTGAGCACTTTTAAACTGATACAAACAAGAATAGCGAATCTTTAGATCACCAACTGCCAAGTTTGTAAATTGTTCTTCATTTAGAAATATCCAGTTTTTTAAATTATATTTGCTGGAAATTATCTGGTTTACAGGACAGCTTTTAAAAATAGACTCGCAAATACCAGGCCGAGTATAACGGGTTTTAATTTGTTCAATTATCCATTTTCTTCTTTTAAATTTTGTATTTTTTAATATTAAGATTAAAATGTATTCGCTAAAGTTACATTAAGCATACAAACTTGTTGAAAATCTACATTTGAATATATTAAGTGGTTATATATGCAACTCAAATTCTCCCTCAAAAATTCGTCCGAATTTAAAACATTTAAGGAATGACTGTAAATGTTGTTTCTGTCTATGAAGAAATAACATAAAAAATGTGGTGCAATGTGCACGTAGCGTGTTATTTAAAAGTGTACACCACAGTTTTTATGTTATTTCGAATAGACAGAAAAAATATTACAGTCATTCCTTATAATTTAATTCTAAAAAGGAGTAAATCATGATAAAAACGTTGATGACGTCACGGTCACATGCCAAAATTATGTCTAGGAGCTGATAGACAAAACACTTTCAGCCAATCAGAAGACGTGTTACATCCACAATTAAATTATTTCTAATATATATTGCAATTGATTCTTACAGTTTGTTCTTATGTTGTGCTGTGACACCACTGTCCAAGGTTAGGGGAGGGTTAAGCGCTCACATACATGTTTAACCCCGCCACATTCCCAAGTCAGGAGCATTGTAGTTCAGTGGTTGTCGTTGTTTCATGTCTGTCATATTTGTTTTCGTAAATTCTTTTGTTATAAATTAAGACGTTAGTTTTCTCAATTGTATTATTTCGTATTGTTTATGTTGGGGCCTTTTATAGCCAACTATATGGTATGTGTTTTTCTCATCGTTGAAGGACGGACGGTTTCCTATAATTGCTTACATCCACTTCATCTGAATTTTGGCGGATAGTTGTGTCATTTGCAATCATACCACATCTCCTTATTTTTATTTACATGAATAAATAAGAGGCAAGTTATAATAACATTAACAGTACCAATTTTTATGCACCAGATATTTAATGTCTCTTCAGTGATGCGCGAGGCCGACATATCTGAAAATCCAAAACCTGAGAAAAACGTTGGAAAAGCTGATCAAAACTATAATAGATAAAGTTTAGCCAAAACCAAGTAGGCTTAGTTTTCTCACAGTAA